CAAAACAGATTGCATAACAGATAAAAAAAGATAACGAGAACGCGAAAGTGTTGAAACTGCGAGGAAGGAAATAACATAACGTTTAAAAGCGGCATTAAAAAGACAAAACAAACTTGTGTAACTGCCTTGTTCTTGAATAAAATCCATTTTCAGTAAATGTGTGATTTTGTTAGGATTTGGCGTTATCTTTTTTCGTAATGGATGATACTAACGTTTTGTAATTTCAGAGATTAAACCGAAAAGAAAAAGTATTTGCAGATTATTTTTACCCTTTCATCTCGAGCATGAACCATTAAATATGCAAATTATATTTCCCTTTCCCCTACATCATTTTATTGTACATTTCTTTTTTTTTTTTCGCCTGAAGTAGGAAACATTTACCATTTTATGTCTGCGGAAAGCGTTAATGTCTAGTTACTTAAGAAGAAAGCAAGCAAACAGTAAGTTACGCAGTTGATTACTGTGGGAAAAGTATATTTTGAGGCATTTGTTCGTAAGACAAACTCACATTGCGCGAGTTTTCCAAATACGTAGGTGAAACTGTGTTCGTGCGAGACTGCAGCTGAATTGTTCACACAAGTTTGGACTTTTTATGCATGTGAACTAAGCATACCTCTTCAGTAATAAAGATCCGTTGACAGACTTTAAGTTTAATCGACCTTATGCCGATTGGATGAAAACACATCTGCATGTGTCTGTTTTTTGATTGTTTATTACATGAATTCCGCAAAGACCAATTTAGTACTGAACAACACTCGAAATTCAAGGACATCACAAAGGAAGTAATATCTACTAAAAGCTGTTATAAACGAAAAACAAACGACTCGTCAATATCAAAACTAAAATTAGCAAAGATGTGCATATCTAGAACAGAGATATGTTGTATATCTGGTTTACAAGGTAAATTCTGGCCGCGTTATATTAGTTTTATCAATCGTTCTCGGGAAACAAGTTTTCAATCCAGTACGATGCATTTTGAATGGATCGGCTTGAGGATCAAACCACAACAGAGAAATGTTGAATAAAAATGTTAATCTGGCTTAAAAGTGTGAATCATAAAGTAAGATTTTTACTGACAAGATCTGGTCCTTCCAAAACGTTTTCCCCGCCGGAGTGATCGCGGATTGTGTGAACGGAATGGTGAAAATGCTTATCGCCAAACCAGGTTTTAACACTACTGAACTGATCAATGTAAGATTTGCGTTGACAAAACATATCTTAATTTTTTTTGCAATGATATCTTTTGGGGCAGAAAATTATCTTCTATGTACTATACCTAAAGGATGTCAAACTAATTGTACTTCTTACAATTTAAAAATTAGGCAGAACATTTTTACAAAATAGCGCCGTACGGGTGTTGTTATTTTCGTTTTTTTATAACGAAACTTTGCAACATCTAAACGAGAAATTCGTCGGTAGTATCCTAAAATTGTAACTATTTACCAAATATATGTATTTTTTCTTCTTTCAATATTTTTTAACGTAACTGTAATTGTAATTTTTAGTCTCTTTTTTAGGGCAATTTTATTAATAGGGTTAACCTCTAAACTCCCTTTTCGAATTTATGTACAGTTTTTCATATTTATGAATTTGAATAAACATGTATGGATTCCCTGATCTCTATTAATGCATTAAAGTAAAGAGCGGTATCAGTTTACACTTAAATTGCTTAAAACATGGCGGAAGGAATGAAAAGAAAATTAAACCTTTAGACACCAGTTTAGTGGCTTATCAATTGTAAACTGCTAGAGTCTTTCAGCTTGGGTCAAGGAGAATTCGAGAGGAAAGCAATTCGTACACAAAAATATTATATTTTAAAAGGTAGCTTGTACTTTGTTTTCCTAACTATTCAAACCCTGACCGCAAGGAGCGTGTCAGCTAGCGCTCCTCTCCAGCGGCTATGCCGAAAAGATAGAAAAACACCAAAGAGATAATAATAAACCATAAAGGAACGAGGATGGTTGAGGATGGAGAAGATTAAAACGGATAACAAACGACGAACGTGAAAAATTTAGGCTAAACTTTTCAAGATGCGAAAACCGTGACGAAGCTTCTTCTTAAAAGTTTTATCTTGTCGGGCTGGGGACGAACATATAGTCTTCCACTCGAAATAGAATTTCAACTGAATACAGAAATATTGTAATTAGTTCTGTAATGTAAATTTTATTTTGACTCAAAAAATTGTTATCTACGTCATCTAGAGAAAATGAAGTTTTCACGTCATCTGCATAAAAAAGAAAATTAGACAGGAAATGTTATAAGACCAATGAAAGACATACATTTGTTTTGTCTTTTAATGTTCTTGAGTTAGACTATCTTGGCTGCAACCTGTTGATGTAATGATTGGTGCTTTTAGTTTTATGATAGAAAATAAAAGAATCTTGCTAACTTAGCGAATATCGATTTCAACAACTCTGGCGCGTATAACAAATTGCAAATCGACTTTGAAGTCATTTAAGCGAATCGATGATATATGTTGTCAACGAGCAGTACAAGTGAAATTTACATAACTGTTTATTTCGAGTCACGCTATGATTTTCTTTCTCTGTTCCACACTTTCGTCGATTCCACTATGGTTGCTTTAAAACTTTGCATTCAGTTCTTGTTGTTCTAGAAACACTATGACAATTATTCTCCGATAGTTTACATGTAACTATCGTTTAGAAAAAATTCGTTGTCAGGGAGCTAGCGTGCGAAACAAACGATAACGTAAACTCATGTATCTTTGTAACAGTGTCATTCTGGCTTCCATTTGTTCTTTGGCACTCGGTAAAATCTTTGTTGCTGTTAGCATGTGCGATGTAAACTACTTGTTGAAAAGGATAAAAACAAGATTGCATGGATAAATTGTATGTGTTTCATCATCGCGACACTCTGGGTAAATATCGCCAAGATAATTGCAGATATCCCGCTGTTTCTCTGTGATTAAAATAGTTTTAAATGGGTGTCTATAAACTATATCAATGACAGCCGAGATTCGTTCAGTTATTCAAAATATACCCCATACACTGTTGCCACAGCGAATAGAGTTCCGTTCTCGATGTTTGCCGAGACGTGTGTGTCGAAATCCGCGTTCCAAAGACACCTACTGGCAACCCTGAGGCCTTGGTCGTGTTTTGAGCCCACATTGACCAAACAAACAAGTTTATAGCGTTCTATACTGAGACTCTTAACTTGCTCCATAATCCTTGAACTTAGCAGCTTTGTCAGAAAGCCACATTCTGTAGCGTTGTAGGTCAGCTCACCCAGCATAGCTTCCAAACTGTTTTGGATAATTTCTTTCACTTCTCTCTCAGGAAATTTCCTCTTTGGCTCGGTACGGTAAGTATTCTCTACCTCCGGCTTTTTCTCTTCTTCTTGGCCGGCTTTTTCCGACTTCTCGCGGGCGGAATCGCTAAGATTCTTCCAATGACGGTACGGAGAGATGTAAGCTGGAACTTTGGAAGCTTTCCTGCCTTGAGGATTAATCGATATTCGTCGCGATGAAGTCGTGCTACCAGCTTCAGACGTCCGCCTTCCTGAACCACTATATCCTCCGTAGTCTTCATCAGTTGATGACTGTACTGACTGAAAACTCAGAACACGAGGACGCGGTTCGAAATCCATTCCTCACAGGAAAATATTTAACGTACTGCACGATCAGGCAATAACTGTCGAGACTAACAACCGGAAACAAAAGCGTTGCCTTACGTTCCCATGGTCTCCCAAGGTTTCATTTAGCATCGGTTCAGTAGATACAGATGCCACAAATTTAAAATTACGCCATTAAGTCACTCTCTAAACAAAAGGATGCATTTTTAGTGAAACATTCCTCTGCTAACCGCATTTTTCATTAGTCGATAATTCAAATTGCCCGGCAATCACGTTTCCGTTTTGGGTCTCATTAATCGCAATAAAAAGAGAATGAAGAGCAGTAGCTCGAGGGGATAGCGAGCAGCGAGCTGTGAGATGAACTGATGGAGAAATAGCGAAAAAATTGGACTGATAAACCTCTCAGAAACAGGCTAGTTTGCATTTCCAGACACTCTACTCTAACCTGTTAAGTTTATTAATTCTAGAGGTTTGGATGTCGGTTAAACTGAAAACTGAGGATTGGTCGAATTTTCCAAAACTGTCTGCTGAGAAACGATTCATGTTTTATCCAATTCCTGCGAAACTTATTGATAGCTTAGATCGGGTATAAAATTCTAACTGACCGCAGAGAATCATTGACAGTTTAACTCAGGGGGTGCTAGCTGACTTCCATCGAGACCTTCAGTTAGTCAAGGTGAGGCTCAGTAAGTAGTAGTGTTAAAGCCTTGGCTATGAGGATAGCCCTTTCCCCTTTCTTCAATTTGAAGCATAAATAGGCTAGTGGAAAGATTTCATTTTACTATGCACTTCCTGCGTGAAAGTACAAATCTCAATAGACCATATTCGTATTCTCGGTATTAGACTGGAACTAGCTTGTAGTGGACGCTCATGTGGGGCAATATCATTAAAAAGAGATAAGCGGCTATTTACATTTGAAAAGACTCTCCGTGTTAGCCTCAGTTGCAAGCTACGTAGGTACCGAGAATACGAATATGGTCTACTGCAATTGACAAGGACCTCTTTAGCCTCAAAACTACTCAGGTTCTGTATTTGCATTTTATTTTTAATTCACACCAGTTATCACCGTGTGCCCTCTACATTGTTCTTCCATTTGCGTTTCTAAACAGATACTACAATGCTGAACAGATACTATATCAAAACAATGATATTTCCGTTTAACAGGTGTCGATTGCCGGCTCTAGCTGCACTGCAATAATGCGAATACTTTGGAAGGACAGGACAATCAGCAAGAAATACTTCCTTGTCTTAGATCTCTGGTAACACCTTCACTTCCCACATAGGCATCGAAACAAGCTGAATACCTGTGCGACAAATACAGGAAAAAAATGGTGAAACTATATTGTATGTTATTATCAAAGTAAAGGGAAATAACATTTTGCTGCCCGGTGGAGTTTTAATTTTAACGCACAAGCTCTGTAAATGAACGATGAGACGGAGGCTGTTTTAGGTCAACAAAGTGTCAAAACTTTTGGCTGTGTTTGAAGGGAATTTCATTAATTTTAGTGCAACCAACCAAATGAAACCTATTTTTCTGTTTGTTTGTTTGTGTGTTTGTTTGTTTCGGTTTGGTTGATTGGTTGGTTGGTTATTGCTTGCTTGCTTGTTTTCTAAAGACAACTTGAATAAACACAATTTTGTCATCCCAAAATAAAGAGTAAAATCGCAATTTTTACTTTGTATATTTGTTTGGTGGTTTGTTTGTTTGGTTGTTTGGTTTCTTGCTTGCTTGTTCGCTAAATACAAATACTAAATGCAACGTTTTCATCTCCAAAAACAAAAATCGCAATATTTACATCGCTACGTGTATTTTTTTTTTTTTTCTGTCAGGCAAGCTTATTAGATATTAATTGATTTGACGTCACTTATTCCAACTCACAGCTGTTTGTTGTTCCCGTCTGTATGTGTCCCAGTCCATCCGGGTTCAATCGACACTTTATTTAGTTTCCATTTCAGCAGCCAGGATAAGTACTTCTGTTGCACTTGGATTCTCTGCGGTGTTCCTATGTTCTTGGAACCTGGTATCACAAATGTTTCGCAGCTACCACCTTTTAGACTACGCCTTGAAGGGAAATAAGACAAACATATACAATCATTCGAGAGCTTTTAATGTAACGTACCGCGTGTTTTCGCGTCAAAGTCCAGGAGGGTTATACTCCCTTTATTTATAGGTATGAACAACTTCAAGGTTATAGGTATTAAGGTGCTTTACATGGCCTGAAAATTAGTCAGATTTTTTTGCATTATTTTTGCTTAGAACTGTGTGTGGGTTTTGTCTTCTGGTTTGGCATAAAGGCTTTTGGGAAGGAACATGCCAGAACATATTTCCATCACGGTAATATTCATATACCACCTTCTTAGCTTTAATTTCACTAAACCATTCCCTTTTTGTCATGGAGGGCCGATATAGGTTCAAATATAGTCTAAGCATATTTCCGGTTTAGAAACGTGGAGTTGTATCAATTTTTGTGCTCTAGCACTTTAAACTGAAACATGAATACCTTTGAAGCTGAACAAAATTTGATTCTCCATTAGACCCAAACAACTTGACCACAATATGAGCCCGAAATAGCCCGACCAGAGACGACCAAGTAGTCTTGAATGTGATTGCTGTATAGTAAGGAACTGAAATGAAACCAGTGAAACTAATTATTACACAAAAAGGGGAACTGCAAACACTAACAACATCAAGCCCCGTGCACAGGTGGACCGGCTCTGAATCTAGTGAGTGAAGGCAGTATTGTCTCCCAGCCTTGCCCGATTAAACTGCAGGCTAAACTGCCTTCACTTACTAAATTAGTCCAAAGTCCACGGCTTTCTGAATTTCCCGAATATGTCATAATGGAATAAAACCCGCCCACAAAAAAAGAGAGAAGGAACGTACCTAAGCTATGATGATATTTTACATAAACTAGTTTGTATGCATGGGGTACGTAAAGAGCGTGGAAGACATAGTTTAGTTAAAAGCTTAGGGTGCATCTCGTAACCTAGATCAGACAGCTTGTGTATTTGATGCACTTAAAAATAATTTCTAATTTTTTATACTCTTTACGGACATATGTTATATTTACCACAAAATGGCGCGCTTGCTTTGGTGTACAAAAAGTGCTTTCCAACTATTTGACTCCCATTTTGTACAGCGGTATATCCCATCTCAGGACATGCTCCATTTTTGCAATTGGCAAGACAGCGAGCACGATCAAATTCATTGGAGTCAGGGCAAGGGAAACCTCTCATATTGTGCAGACACTGTGGTGACAAGGACTCAATGAAATAAGCTGGAGCTCGAAGGTGATCGCACACCAAAGGACCTATTGGACCAAGATCTGTCGCGTGAAACAAGAAAATAATCCAAGACGTCATTGCTTTGTATAGCGTCGGGAGTTAATGATATGGCCTTGACGTACATAACATAAACCTTGGCTTCTCAGTTTTTCCCACAATAAGCCGCAAAAAGATTCACGCACGAATTTCATCTTGAGCTTTAATTTCTCAGTAGTGCTCAATTTAACCGGGCTGCATCCTAATTTGTGAGAGGTACTGAGTACAGTCCTAGTGGTAAGCGCGCTGACTCCGTATTGAGTGGTCCAGGCTCGAAGCCTGGACGGGTTCACTGTGTTTTGTTCTTGGGCAAGACACTTTACTCTCACAGTGCCTCTCTCCACCCAAGTGTATAAATGGCACCGGCGAATTTAATGCTGGGAGTAACTCTGCGATGGACTAGCATCCCATCCAGGGGAAAGTAGAAAAACTCCTAGTCGCTTCATGCTATGGAAACCGGGATAAGCTTCGGCTGTACTGACCACTTAGTCGGGCCTTGAATGATAACCCACATAATCGGTTCTTATTCCAATTCCCTAACCATGTGCCAGCTAGGATTGTCGCTACACCTCGTGATGGGATGCTAGCCACACGCATCATGTTGGATCCGGTTGCCCTACCAGTTCACTGGTACTCTTTTACCCCTGGGTGGAGAGGGACACTGTGAATGTAGAGAACACAAATGTACAGTGTCCATGCAGTGCCTCTTACCCTGCCGCCATTTCCCAATTAATTTAATGATTAGAATAGGCAATCTACTTTCCTTGTGATGTTATAAGAAATAACTGTTACCTGTTACCTAGCTTCTTTGTGCCTCGTGGCACATAAGGAAATAACTGCTGATGACGAAATGACAAATAATAATTATAAGGACTCAGAGCAGGATAAGTTTACCATCTGTGACACTTAAGCATCCCACTTGGTCTAATCCTCCGTTAGGATAAAAATCAATGTGACCTGAGGCTTGGAAAGTTCCCCAGCGATCGGCGTCTGTGTGAATTACATCTACAAATTGAGCGTCAGTTGGGTCCAGTCTTACCGCAGGATCTGTCGCTGAAAATAGTGGTCCAGCTGGGTCCAGTCCTATTGAATTTATGAAATAGAAAATGCGAAAAAAAATCACTAAAGAAGTACAATTTAGCCTCTAGTTATACTTACTTATCACATGTTTATAAAACGCTGGTAGTAAAAAAAGATATACGTGTGTACAGACGCACGATCATCGTGTAAACTACGCGTGTCGAAACGGCGCGGAAAAACGACAGTAAGCCAAGCCCGGAAAGGCCGCGCGTGAACCAAGGGCGAGAACACACGCATGCAAACGCAAAGCCAAAGTACGCAGCATCTACGCAAGAAAAGGGCACGAGACAAGCATGGGAAAGCGTACATAACAACAATGTAGTCGACGAAAGCGTGCACAAAATAAGCGCAGTAAAACAATAGTCCGCCGAGCCCGAGAGAGCGCCCGGGAGCCATGGACGAGAACACGAAAGCGTGGTATGCGCCCATCACCCACTTCGCTAAGGGGCAGTAAAACATGCCTGGAGTGATTTGGTGACTCTGTTAATTAATCAGTGAATGTTTCGCCATGCAAAGCAGAAGAAAAGCGATTAAAATTACGTTAGACACCTTTCTGAACTTAAAAGCGCTCCGACGAGTGACAGTTACCTGTGATCCGACCTAAAATTAGTCCGTCCTGTTGCAGTCTGCTCCCAGCGTACCCTGCGATATGAGAGCCAAGACTAAACCCCACGACGTGATAAAAGTCCGGTGAGCTTCGGGTCTGAGAGATGAGGAACTTAATCAGCTCTGCTATCATGGCCCCCACAAGGCGTGTGTTCCCTGCCGCTTGTAGATAGGGCGGGAAGCCACCTCTGAACCAGTCCACTAAAATAACATTGCAGTCAACGTTCCTTAGTAAGCCATCTCGTATGCGTTCCATCCATTCGGGCCTTATTTCTGCATGTACAGTGATTTAAAACAAGAGAAAATGAGAAAATGGTCTCTTGTTCAAAAGTAAAAGTAAACGTATCGAACACATCACCCGAGCAACAGTACAATTTAATTTGGTAATCACTGTAATCATACTTTTATATTATACAGATGATGAAATATATTGAAAAAAGAGCCACTAGAAATATTCCCCCCTCCCCCCGGACAAAAAAGTAACTGGCAGGATTCTCGTGCTACATATGTGGTCGATGAGAGTGAAATCTGTTTTCAACGAGAGGTAGTTTTAGGAAACAAAACTTCCATTGGAAGAGATAGAGTGCCGAATTTTTTTTCTTATCATTCACCGGTAATTTCACTGTTTTTGCAACAACACAAAGAAAGACGTGAATTAAAAGCAACTCCATTATTCTACTACATATAAATTTAATCCTGATAAACTGTGGAAATAACGGTTTCAATTTCAAACCATTAAAACTTACATTATTGGCAAAATATTATATATTGCATTTTAAAACTTTCCTTCTGACGGTCGTCCGTCAGAGTGCATGTGAAGACTCTGGAAAAACGTGCTTGAGTTGTTAAATGTTAAACGCAAGCGCAGAAACAGAGTTGAAGAGACCAATAATAGTGAGGCTCAATCTCGCCCTAAGAGCCCGCGCATTCTCGGTCAGCAGTTACCGGACGCCCCTCGTTATGGACAAAATCAAAACCTGGAAGTAGAAATTTCTACATGGTTTCGGTTTGATTTTGTGAATACGTCCAAGCTCGACAATGGTTTCTGAACATGCGTAGAGAAAGCAATAGCTGTTATGCCGGTCTGGAGGTTCCGATTTTTTATGGGTGACCCTGTGAACGTAAGATCAGAATATGATAGAATTTCATTAATTTCCTTTCCATGTATAATTTTTTCAGCTTACCAATATATCCATGAACAACAATAACAGTCCTTTTTGAACCGTTGTAGCTGGAGTTTTGAAGTTTAGCTAGGTCGTAATCGTCAATAAATTGCGGCTTGTCTTGGTTGAGCCTGGTGTAGAGGCGAAAGTTTGGAGCAATCAGGGCTGGCGGAAACGGCAACAAAACAAATTTCTTGAAAGGCTCTTTGTTACTGAAACATCCATACTTTTCATAGCAGACTTGCATCTCAGCTAATAAATACACAAAGTGTTCAAGTAGATAGAACCGATAGTTTTTATTATTAACAAACTGACTAAGTTATTTTTGCGATGTCTAATTTTTTGTGTTATGGCAAAATCCCACACATCAACGCGAGGAAAGATCTTGCACCGGTTTTGGTAGAGTGTAATTATAGATAAAATTGTTAACTTAAGATAAATAACCCGAAATTTGTGGTCATCCTCTAGTTCAAAATTGTCGGGGCTTTTTGGGAGGGAGAGAAAGCAAAACCTGTCTACATTATGAGTTTCTCTTTAGCCTAAATATTATTCACTCATCGATGCGCAAATGAAATGATTTTTGATTTCAGTCTTTAAAGAATGGTCTAAATCAATGTTTCTCTAGATTTGGGACAAGGGCATCAGAGGTTACAAAGAGTAGATTTACTCGACACCTTTTGTGGAGAGTAAAACACAAAGTTGCCACCAATGTTGAATTTATCAGCTTTGCTGAAAACGTTCATAAATATTGGTTTTCACCTTTCGTAGAATTAATTCATAAAACATTTGATTTTTTTTTTTGTGCCATTTCATTTCACCTCGAAAGTAATCTGGAAAAGAGTTTTGTAATCCGCAGCTCATTAGAAAGATTCCACACTCACCGTTTGCCAAGCTAGCCAGGAAATAGACCAGTAAACCTAGGATGATCATTTCTACTTGTCAAACTTTGACTCCAATGCGATGCTTGCTCTAGCTTGCTGTGTTTCGAAACATTAAACTTTGCTGGTTAAATAATCGTGGTATCAACAGTATTATCATGAAAGAGTCAGCTGAGTAATTTAACAAAATCGATTGTTTGGAAAAGATAAAACAAACACTTAAATCGGTGAAAAGTGTTTACGTTTAGCTTTACTCTGCGCATTGTAAAAAGTGCAATGGGACATTTATTCATCCTAAAAGCTTGGGTCTTCCCACGATCGATAAAAAATGCAAACCTTTAAAAAAAATTTCGAATTTTCACCACAGAAAACAGCGTTATCATTATTCAATTTTATTTCTTTTTGCAATATTATTACTAACATGTCTAGATAACAGCAGACACGTAAAGATTTTAAGGAAAACGACCAATTTTTTAAGTTTATAAGACATGTTTCGACAGAACTTCTTTCATCTTCATTTGATGATTTTTAGATTTCCACCAAATTGAACCCCAATTAAGACTTTGGAGTCTGCCCTCGGTAGAAAAATGTGAACCCTAAAAATATCTTCAAATTTTCACCCCAGAGAGACAATGTTATCATTATATATTTTTGTTTCCTTTAGCAATATTATAACTTGTATATCTCTTTTAGGGTTGCGTAAAAACTGACATATTCCAATCTCCATTTAATGTTTTTTGACTTCCACCAGATTAAAACTTTGCTAATTATGTTTGTTTGTTATCGGAGTCGTTTGAACTTCAGACTGGTTCTTATCTTCGGGTCAGTTCAATCTTTGCACAAGTAATTTGCGTGGTTGAATAACAAAACCCACGACAAGATACAAAAGTAACTTATTTACACAGCTTAAGAGAAAACATACGAAAATTTGGAAAGATCAACCCATAAAATTATTTGCTTTATCTTGGGCTGCCCACAAGTAGGTCTGATATCTGAGTGTTATTTCCTTTTGTCGTTATACAAAAAAATATATATATATATATATTTTTTATATATAATCGAGCTAAAATGATTGTAGTGATTTAAACCGTATCATAGGGAACTTTTTCTACTAGGGGTAGCGCTAATTAAGCAGTCATGTTATCCAGTTTAGGATGGCGCGCGGAAAACTGGAACTGGAAGTTTATGGTTGAAGTTACATCATGTAATCATTTCCCACGAAACAAAGCCAGCTAAACAATCGATCCAGTTCGATTTTTTTTCTTGAACGAAAAACTAACACTTCAAATTGATGAAAACTTTGTTGATTTCCTAACGCAGCGATGACGAGTCAATTTTTTGTAGTATTTTCTCCTTTACTGCTGGGCTAATTTTGATAAGAAAAGGAATTCCAGTAACGCAGGTTGCAATCAATGACTGATTTTCACATAATTTTGTACATGATGTTGTACATTCTCGTCCCCAGGGGCCGTCAGCACCAAGAATCGCGACCTCTGGTCTGACCCGATTTTCTGAGCATGCATAGGGTATTCGTTTCGTATTTTCAGCCGATCAGATTTGTCAGATTTCACGGGAAGTCCGTGAATCCCGGACTTCCGACGTTGGACCGGCCCAGAGGTCGCGATTCTTGGTGCTTACCAAAAAGAGCGCGGCCTCTGGGGACGAGAATGGATGTTGTACATAATGTTGTTTACGTCCACGCATGCCTAGATATTCTTTCCTGAAATGAATCCATAAAAAGTAGACTTACTATTTCAAACTTGGAAGTTTATTGTGCGTAAAATGCTTTTAAGGATTGACTGTTACATTTCTACCTCAGTTAAGTTAATTTAGCTCTTGCATGCATACATCTAGATTATAGATCTGTACTACTTGTATGCACATAGATTATAGAGCTGTAGTACAATGATTCGTCAGTAGAGTATTCCTCTCTCCTGCAAAGAAAAATTTAAATAAACTTATTAAAGACCAAGAAAAAGGATTAAAACTATTGATTTCATAGAAGACCACCGCCTTGCTTTGTCCTCTTTTAGACTGCAAGGAAGTAACTTCAATTAAAATCCCCGGGATGGGAACAGTGGGGTGGCTTATACTCCGGTCTCCCCCTTCCCTCTCCCCCCGCAAATCATGAATTTACCGCCCTCATTTCATCAGTTTGCCATGACGTTGAACCCGTTAACAATTTATTCTCTTGAAGAGTGGCATTACGAAAGTAGTGTCTTCCTCAAGAATACGATTAATATCGTACCCATATCTCACTCTGTTTGACGCTTGGCCGTGGGTCCGAGATCTGGGTTCGAGGTTAGAATACGACTACAAAAACCCTAACCGAGACTTGAACCACCGCACCTCAGAAGGAAGTCACACCTCCTCGCTAATCTCAAGGGGGACGCTTATCTTAAAGGTTGAGATCGCAATTTTACTGTAAATAAGAGGACGTGGTGGTCATGGAAGAGAAAGGAAGCAAGCTTTTACAAGGAAATGCATTTTGTAGTATACCAACTGCTACTTGATCAGACAGTTACCAAGGGGCGTTCCATAGCTATAAAAGATCAACAAGAGTAGCTGTTATTACAGTTGAGTCTGCGGTCAAATATTGCTTTGTTTGGAAAGGTATGCAAACAAGGCGAAAGGGTCAAAACAAAGCAGAAGGGACTCCTGATAGTAAAATGGATTAGGAAAGATGTAAAAGAGCTGAGCAGTAGTGTTTCGAACTATTTTGTATTCTAATCCAACCTACAGCAAAATGGAGCTTTCGATTTTGTTTGCAAGTAGAATCTCCCAGCGTGCTTAGCAGAATCTGCATCGAAACCCATAGAGGGACATCCACCAGCAGGGCAGTTCAGGGTCTTTCCATCTCTACAATCATTGTAGCTTTTGCAGGGATGTGTTTTCCATGAGCATTGCCCAACAGATGCAATGTAGTATTCAGTAGCCCGCATGTGGTCACATGAAACCGAAGACACAACATCTGGTATGGAGACAACAACAGATGAATAGGTTGAGTGAAGTTTTTACACTGTTAATTGTGCATAAAGCTAAACGCTTGCTTGGCCGCATACCTGAAACAAAGGTTATCTGGAAGAATAAAATTTCTACTAGGGAACCTTAACTAGCCGGAAGTCGACAAGTTAACTGCATATAAAGAGTGAGGAGATACTGTAACATTCGGGACCACCAAACACAAATCCGGCCGTGTGCATGTGTGGTATCAAGTAGTAGCCGAAAGCTAAGACGATTTAAACCCAGGTCCAGGAATCTACTCCCCTAACCAATAGACAATATTCTCTTCCCCGATCGAAGAGATCGAAATAACTCAGTCTAAATGTGACACTAGCCCTGAATACCGCAAACTGCCGCTCATAAGCCCTTGGCTTATACAACTTCGTAAGGGTTTTTAGATGGGCTCATAAACGGAGGAGCTTATATCCGAAGGGGTTTATAACCGGAATAAAAAAACCGTTTCGAAACGAACTATAGCTGCTCATGTTGATTGAAATAGGTTTTTTATTTACTGGCAATTAATTTTTAAAACATCATAATGAAATGAATTCAAAACAAGGAAAGCTAGTGGAGATTCAAATCCGAACGGAGAGGGGTTATATCCGGATGTTTGTAATTTTTGGTTTTCAGGTAGACGGGCCTATAACCAGGGGAGGGGAGGGGGGAGGGGGCTTATATAAGCGGCACTTTACGGTAACTGGTATAATGGACGCGCCATTTGCCGAGTCTGAAACTTAACTTACCCTGTATGTCAAAATCACAACCAGGCTGTTTGTCACCACCGTTAGGGAAAAAGTCGATGTGCCCGACTGTTTCAGCCCGTTTCGTCCCGAAACCTGCAGTATCTGTGTGAATGACGTCAACTTGATCAGCATCGTTTTTATCCAATCGCAAATCAGCATCTACATTTATATGCAGTGGACCAGCAGGATCCAAACCTGTTATTGAAAAGGACATGGATAAATGACATTATAAAAAAAAAAATGAATCATTGCATAAAGCAATTCGAGAGTTTTCACTTGCTCAGCCATCATGGTAATGAGCCATTACACCATGCTCTACAAATATGGTAAGCGTATACGTGGTTTTTTATTTTATTTTTGTCTTCTATATTTTGGGGGCGTTTTTAATAAATAAATATATATATATATATATATATATTCTACTCACCTTTTGTCGGATATGAGTTGATTATAGCTATCTACCAGCTCATATCCAATGCACGTTCGTGAAATAATTGTAAAATAATTTTTCAGGGTTTCAGTTATGAAAAGGACATTACATCAAAGAAGCTCAGTCACGGTATTTTGAGTTATTTGCGCTACGTTCAAAACTACTTTAAAATTAAAGGAAACCTGAAAATGATAATTTACAAAGAAAGAAACACATCATAGAGATATAAATAAACCATGAAGGAACAAGGATGGTTAAAGATGGAGAAGATTGGCACGGATTACAAACGACGAACTTGAAAACTTTAGGCTAAATTTTTCGAGATGTGCAAACCATAATGTATCTCCTTCGAAAGGAGCGTTACTCCTTTAAAAAAGCGTTGTAAAAATATACGGTCCTCGTAGATGAGAGAAACAAAGGATAGGGTAGCTTGGTTCGGTACCATACAAGGACATTTTTTGGGGGGGAGGGGAGGGGCTGGCTGGGCTTTGACTGCAGTAGCTTATATCTGGGAATAGAACTTAAAGCGTAACAGCGATCACCAGGAACTGCCAAGTCTTGTCGAAGGTGAATTAGTACTCCTGAAACCACGGGCTGCTGATGGAAAGATGAACTAAGGCTTAGATGGAAAAAAAGTTTAAAAAGAGCCGTTCAGAAATGAACCGACAAGAGCCCACTTAAATGGACGCCCCTCTCATTTGCTCACACAATTACAAAGTTCTTCAGATCATTGCCTGTTTCGATTTTAATTTACGTAAGACCGTATTACGTTTATATTGAAGTTGAGAATATGATTAAAGCCTGGGCACCATAAATTTAAGAGTGACTTCGGAGATGTTCTCTGGCTCGAGTTTGGAAAACGGATTATCTTTCCGAACCCCTTTTAAGGTGGCCGAACACAGTTTTCGCGCGCGCTTTTGCTGATGCAATTCAGCGCGCGCACAAGGATTGCAAAAAACAAACATGCCGTCAATATTTACTCAACACCCGCACTATCTGTACTATTTTTCTCTATAATTGAAAGCAGTGTATTGACGGCTTTAGTCTTTTATCACAAATATACGTTAGAAAAGGTAAAGATGCAAAGAACTCAGCAATTCTCAGCTTTTTCTTTGTTACCGAAAGAACCCAGTTAAATGCAGCGCATGCGTAATAAGTAAGAAAATTGCGATTGAATGAAAATNCAAAGGAAACTCTAGATATTCCAGTAAACCTTCAACAAGGGATAATTAAAGATCTCTCTCTTAAATTATTTGCAAAATGGTGTTAACTTGTGAGAATTGTTACAAGCTTGTTGCATGCAAATTATAAAGAAAATCTAAAGACTAGATTTTCTACAAATAAACAAAACCGATTTTAAAGGCCTGTTTATTTTTATTCGTGTTGCCATGGCAACGGCACATACGTCAGCTTAAACATCAAAAAACCAAAGTTTGTGTTGTTAGCTTGCTTGCTGCCATTTTTGGCGACCGAGAGATTAAGGGTTATAGAGAAAAAGGTGAATGAAACACAGGTATCAAGAACTGTGTTCAGCCACCTTAAAGTGTTACCTGTAATTCTTCCGAGCTTTATTCCGTTATTAGCCTGCAGATGGCGACCAGCGTACCCTGCAACATGTGCGCCAAGGCTGAACCCCACGATGTAGAATCGCTTGCCCAAATTCTTAGACCCAGAAGAGCCGGTAGCACTGGATATCAAGAACTTTATCAACACTGCTGTCTGAGCTCCGACAAGCCGTGCATTACCAGATGCTTGTGCATAATCGAGCGGCCCACTGCCAGCTCCCTTGGACCAGTCTACCAGTATAACGTTACAGTCTTCTCGCTCCAAAAGAGCATCTTTCATTGGTTGAGCCCAAGTTTTAATACTTTCTGGAGAGTAAGAAACAAATGTAGTAAGATTTAGTCCTGCAAAGGAGCTGACCCGGTCACAATAAGCCGGTAAGAACTTCATATAGGACACATATGGTTTCCTTACCCGTCGCCCTACGAATGCTAACCGCAAGCAAACAGCAGTAACTAAATGCTAACCTCAAGCAAGCAGCAGTAAATTAATGCTAACCGGAGGCAAACAGCAGTAAATAAATTCTAATCGGAAGCAAACAGCAGTAAATAAATGCTAACCGCAAGCAAACAGCAGTTAATAAATGCTAACCGGAAGCAAACAGCAGTAAATAAACACTAACCGCAAGCAAACTGCAGGGCGACTATCTGGTTGGCCTACCATGAATTAAAAGCCAACAAGCCTTCAGTAGACATTACAGAGTTACCTTGTCAATCATGAAAAATAAACGTGGAATAGTTGATAAATAATGTCGTAATGAAGTAGGTAGGATGTCTCATTTTTGTGACCATTATAATTATTGTGATTATGTTAATTTTTATGATGATTTGAAAGTTTCAATAATTAATTGTATTGTTTCACTGAGAAAATTATTTCGTTGTGATTGGCCGAGAGCAGGCCAATTCAACGTTAATTCTTAATTTGCACTGCAGTGTACATTAACGCGCAAGCATTTGTAATTTTCTCAGTCGTATGAGAATGAGTAATTGTATAAAAGCTTGATCAATTAAAAATTTACACTACTCGTGATATTTGAAAATTGCACTCGTTCTTAAGGCTCGTGCAATTTTGAGAGAATTTTCAAATATCACTTGTAATGTAAATCCTTAATTAATTGCATTCCATTCATACGTTTACCTATACTAATAAAAAAACTCCGCCATTTACTGATTTCAAACTGTTAATTTTATGCATCAATAACAAGTTTTTAGCAAATTGAAATTATATTACAGATACTTGCCTAAAAACCCATGAATCACAAAAATCGTTCGTTTAGCGATTTTAAAATTAGAAGCTCTGAGTTTGGCTTGGTTGTTATCATCAATGAGAGTCGACTGGGAAGAGCCTCTGGTAAACAGATGAAACTTTGTCAGAATGACGGATGGATCCTGTGGCAACTTTGCGAGGACACGTGTTTTCTTAAAACAGCCGTACTTGTTAAAACAGACCTCAGGCTTTGGAAACAGCCAACCTAAGTAGGTTTAAAAAAATTAATGACGTCATCAAATAATGTCAGTATCCCCTGTGTAGAAACACAGTTAGAAATTGTTTCTATTTGTCTCAAAGGTAGGGTTAGGGAGGTAGGAAGAGACAGAGGGAGGGGTGAGTGGGTGGGTAGGTAGATAAGGAGGGAGGGAGGGAGAGAGAGAGGGGGGAGATAGAGAAAGAAGGAGATAAGTGGATAGTTGGGTGGCTATATTCTTGATATGAAGGTACGGAGGTAGGTAGGGAGGCAGGCAGACTTGGCAGACTAATATTTTAGGAAAATAGCTGATGCGTAGATCAGTTTCCCTTTAACCTTTTGGACTGTCTCCCAAAACCATTTCTTAAATTTTATTCTATAATGAGGCCAGTTGCTCCCTTTTACCCTATATTTTCTTTCCAACGTGGTCGTAATTTTGCAAATCTTGTGAAGTATTTTGCAGTATTACAAGGAAACTGAAAGGCTGCGTCGACGAGCAAGTGAAACACTTAGCAATTTATCAACTTGAAGTTAATAAAAGGAAATTAGCCGTCGTGGCGAGATGGTGAAGCTGACCGGTTTCGCGGGGTAGCTTTTCGTCAATTCAGTATCATCTACGGCTTTCCAGTTAGAATCCAGCTGATTCAGTCTTGAAAACGTGGCTGAAATTCACGCTCGACGAAGTATTATTTGCATCATTTTATGTTTATTGCTCAATGCATGGTTTCACTTTATGCAAACACTGGATTATTTTTAGCCCAAAAATATGCACCGATATTTTTTTTCAGAGATTCATATTTACTCTCTTTCAGAGAAGCAATATCTTTTCGGAGAAGATATCAAAACAAGGCTAATATCTACTTGCGCTGAGGATTGGTTAGCAGATATCTTCACATAAACTTTCAAAGCTTCTTCTGACTATAAAACCCAAGCTGACCCTATGAGCAACTGAGCATAAGAAAGCTGTGATACTTGCGAAATACGAAACCGTTCCTTACTAATGATGCTAGCCGTTGTTATGCTTCACAGGCTAATGGTTTGCGAAATCAGTGCATAGTATTAAACCAGCAACTTATGATTCATCGTGATAACTAAAGTTTCGAAAGTGATTTAGTTTACCATCTATGACAGATATGACTATATGGGAATATGTGATTCACTGCATACCTTGAGCCAGTGCCGACATGGTGATACACAAAAAGAGTACCACCGGCTTCATTATCCTGCTTTGCCTCTCTGTTTCACAGGTAATTGTCCTTTGGCAAGATGTATCGCTGATCTGAATGATGAATCGGGCGTAGGGCTTTAATGTTTACAAAACCTTCTCCTAGCAATTATGAACGACCTTTTTTTTACTTGCTCTTACGTCTGTCTTGCGTAATCCACGAGGGTGTAAGAGAGCCAATAAAAACCATGGACACAATACAATACGCTTCAATCGAATATTGCTATACGGCCGTTCTTATAATGTGTTGTCAACATAGTACGATATGCAGTCGAATGATAAGAAATCAAAACTGAAACACTGTTTAGATAATTCATCTTGCCTTGAAACCTCAGAATTATTTTTAAACCTTCGAAAAGTGCTTTGCTGCGCGTGATTGGTTCAAAAATTTAAATTGGCATTGCGGCACTGAAATGTGTTACTCACCACGTTTTAAATTTAGAATTTAGAATTTAACCTCCTCTTTCATTTCCTGTTAGACAATTTAACATATGACATGAAAAATAATTTCTGCTTATTTGAAAGGCCTTTCAAAATACAGAAGAATGGAGTTTTTCTTTTTGAAATATCTTTTTTCGTTTTAGGGATATTGACGTTTTTCTTTTACGCAAATTAGATCAGTGATGACCTCATATTGTTTGTAACTAAAAAGTGGTAAAATACTGAATAAACGATATCTCTGAAAATATTGAAGCAGTGTTCTTGAAACTTGGCACCACAAATGTGCATCACAAAGGAAACAAAATGACACCCTTAGTGCTGTTACCACGACAACAGTTTTGCCGCTGGTGCTGTCTTAATAAAAACTGAAATTCCCAGTTTTTGTCTTAAACCAAGAACCATCTACCCCACGCAATCTAATGGTGGGAGTTAAGACAATATGGGAACTATGTCTGTTCCAAGTAGGACCGTTTGTCTCATTTAAGAGGTTGCAAATCGGGATATTTGGCTTTTTGACAGAAAGAGACTGGAGCCGAAAGAGTTGCTGTGGCAACAGCAGTAAGGGTGTCATTTTGTTTCCTTTGTGACGCACATTTGTTGTGCCAAGTTTCCAGAACACTGTTTCAATATTTCTAGAGATATTGTTTATTCAGTATTTTACCACTTTTTAGTTGCAAACAATGTGACGTCAGCACTGATCTAATTTGCGTAAAAGAAAAACGTCAGTAACTCTAAAACGAAAAAAAATATTTCAAAAAGAAAAACGCCATTCTTGTGTATTTGAAAGGCCTATCAAATAAGCGAAAATATTTTTCATGTCATATACACTTTAACACATGAGTATAAAAGCGTTGGGATAATTGATTTCTAGAGAAAAGGCGTTTCTGAAAATTTGAGATATTCTCTTCAAATGTTAGCTAATGATGTCTTGGAGGAGTTAATAGTTTTTTGTGACCCTTGCTGGGTGCCAAGATTTAATTAAAGTACGTGCACTGAAAAAATTCAGATGGCTTAACACGAGTAGATCGAGATGTTATTTCATTGCGAGAACAATGAAAAGAAAACTAAAATTTTATCAGTACGCTACAGTGTTTATATCCAAATTCATATCCATAAAACGTAAGCTTCTTACATATCTTCCAAATGTTCGCAAAGAAACAACAGCAAATCGATTCTATTAAACTCTTTTCATTAAAAGAACTTGCTCGTTGACATGAAAATACCAAGAAAGTGATTTTTCTCAGAGAAAAAAAGTGTCGACACTGAATGGAACCAAACAATTAACAGATAAGAAAAATAAACTCCAAATGACAAAGAAAAGAAAAGGGCAAGGAAAAAAGTAAATCAAAATGGCGAAAATTTATACCTTTCAGGCTGTAAACACTTCAGTGATAATCTGTACTTGTCACAATGTCCTGTACCAATCGCTCGAAAACTGGGCACGAGTCAAATCCCCACCGCACCCTCGCAAGTAAAATTAAACGAGTGAAATCTATAGAAACCCCCCACTCCCACAAGCAAAATGTTGTGTCAAGTCTGAGTAACCTTGGCCCGGGGCTGGGAGGAACAATACGTTGGAAGAAAATATATTTCCCACTGACCAGGGAGCCGCCAATATAATATGGTAATGAATGCCGTCCCAAAATCGCATTTAGTTTATAGCATGTTCGTAAGTTCAGAAGGTTCGGACAATATCGCGCTCTGATCCCAGACAAAAAAGCGTGGTATTTTCAGTTTCAGTTGTTAAATACTTTAGTAAAACTCGTTTTAAAACTTTAAAAGAAAACACTTTAAAGCTTTTTAGAGTTTCGTTAAAGAAACGCGGACAATCACCAACAAGTACTGAAGCTGAAATTTGCGAAATATTAATAATAAACCCGAGGCTGAGATTTTGAAAAGAATATACTTTTTTTGTGTTGAAATTTTGAAAATACAACACAATTATATGTTTTTAACTAAACCTTATAAAATTCCACCCTCCCCTAAATGGCAGGACTAGCCAAAAAGCAAAAAACAACAGCACTTAAGCCGCATGTTCGATGCTAGTAGCGTTTCTGCAAGAAGTTATGTACATCATATTAGGCTTCTATGCCTGCAGGCTGGCTCCAAATGCTTTAACATCATCCAGACACCAAAAACATTCAAAAGCAGAAATGTCAAACGCTATAATCTAAGAATATTCACAAAAATATTTTCAGCCTAAAATCGGCAGAAAAATAAGAATATTCAGCCTCGGTCGGAAAAACGATATTCTTACTGAAAAAATTAAGAGCATCCGCGGCCAAATAGCAATTCTATGCAAATGATTTGAGCGAATTATTCAATGCAGTATAGCCAGAAAAATCTGACGAAAATACCTTTTCTTGTGAGAATAACGAAGGTAATATCCATACAGAAAAACTATAAATCACGGAAAATAAACGAAACTAGTGAAAAAGGGCGATCTGCAAATTTAACGAAAATCTTAATAACGAGACCAATACTAAGCTATTAAACTCAGGAGGCAGTGTTGGGATCATTAAATATTTTCAAACGCACACAAATTTAGTCAGACTCACTGATGTCTTGAGCGGACCAATATTTCGAGCTCGTGAAGTGTTTGACGTCCAAAAAGTAAGCTTTGCCATACAGCTGTTTCGCCGATGGTTGGCATTTTCACAACTAGTACTGTTATACAAATTTTCTTATTTCAACTTTCCGACGCGAAACTGTTTAATGATGAAGTGAACATTCAGAACAGCTGCTGAATAGGCCTCAGCACAGCATTGTTCAAGATACAACTTCTAGATCGCGAGGTTTAACTAATTGCTGAAAACTGGTCAAAATTTTCACTGAACGATCTATTATGTAATTATCCGGCTACCATAGATACATACATTAGTGCATGGAATGTGGTATTTAGAACGGTCAAAACTGTAATTATTAGTCAGCAGAGAAATGATGGGCTTTTTAGCTGATTTGAGATTTGCAAAACTTACTAACGGCTGTGAAACGTGCGGAAATTTTCACTGATAACTTAGAAATCACTGAAAATTTAATTGATTAACTTAATTTCCATAACCCCCACATAGAACCGCTATTTAAGTCGGACTCACTTTTGGACCTGAAACGGATGTTGTTTTAGTCACTGATCATACATATTTTCTAACTAAAGCTGGTCCAATTTGCAACTTGAACTAGACCAAAATTTACAACGTCTTCCTGACTGTCTGTCTTTAGAATTCAAGTTATTCACACTTTTGTTATTGGGACTTTTAACGAATCCTAAATGCAACTTTAAGCCGAAACAACCTCATTGAAACTACACGAATAAATAAATTTCAGTAATTAGAGGAAAAGCCACAGCGGCCGTAGCTGGTTTTCACGCTGCTCCTCTATATCCTGGTCGAATTAGAAAGTTGGTTTCTGTGGAGGAAGGAAAATCGGAGAATCCGGAGAAAAGCCCTCGGAGCAAGGCGAGAACCAACAACAGACTCGATCCACATATGGAATTGGAATCAAGTCCCGGGCCGCACTGGTGGGATGCAAGCGCTCTCACCACTGCACCATCACTGCTCCACAACTATATACCGCAAGAATTCATGTGAGGCAATACAAACCTCGTGTTTGGGCAGTCAGTATCATAAGCAGGGCGATAACTCCCTTCCTGAACATTGTCCTTCTTGATGCTTTGAGTCCGGCAAGATATTGTTGATAATTAAATTACTTATTGCGTGGCTAGGTGTTTTGACGATTTTGCGAATCATGTGCTTCGAACAGACCAATCAAAAATCATCTCAGAATTTATATTATTGCACTCACACTGTTAATAATACCCTAAAGCGAGATCACTTTTCTATAAGTGTGATAAGACAAGATTTGCGAATGTTAAATATAGGAAACCACAATCTGCTGTGAAACTGAAAATGCTGCCATAGGTATTCTCCTAATGTACGCTCCTACCTTAGGTCTTCTTCGTTCAATTATCCCGCACGACGAAAGACTTGGCAATTTCGTAAAAAAATTATCGTAGTCGTATTACTATGGAATCAGGAGAAACTTCACAAACATGCAAAATGATTCTCTGTGGAAATCCAATAAAGAAAATTCATTGGGGGTCAACTTTAATTTTGCTTCACTAAATATATAAAAATATTATCAAAAATATTTACACCCTTTCAATGCTGTCTGCCTTACACGATAGCAAGCAATTGAATGTCTGACCCAAAAAAAGTCAGCAAAATTATATTAAGAAAAGTGGAAGAAATCACTTCAAAAATGTCGGTATTCTTTCGTCTGCCGAATTCGAAACAAGGGAAAAAGGAGATAACTGTTGTTTCAAACAACTTTAAATCCCCATAATTCGTAATAAGATACGTTTTACATTTCTGTGTACTACAATAGTCAGCCACGGTTTTAGCGCTTTTGTATATTAAAAAAGGTCGGTTATGAAATGAGTTTTCTTGACATAGGTAAAGTAAACAGCCTCTTTTTACTTTATGAACAAAAATTAAGATACACGTAGTTATGGGTTTTCCGACTAAAGCAAACTATGTCTTTTTTTCTGAATTCTAATTAGCTGTTTTTGCTTGGTTGTATTAGTAAAAACGTCCCTAACATTGAGAGTTTTTCATAAACATTTGTTTGCGTTGGTAGTGGTTTCGCACACAAAATAACAAAATATGTGAACAGCTGCAAGCCCTATGTAGTAGGTATTTACCAAATAGAAGATGGTGCTCCATATTCTCTGAGGAAAGAGGAAGAGGTAAATGCAACCTTAGAATCCAGACAGAGTGAAACCTACGCAAATAGACACATACTCGATCATCAATGGTCATGATATGTG